GGATTTTGGTTGAGGGGGAGGCAAAACAGACAAGCTACATTTATAAACATCAGCAGTTTTGCCAGTTATTAGGCAGGGAGATAGGCCCTTTCGTACTAAGGATGAAGATATGGCGCCTGTTGTAATGGACAAGTAACACGCTCACTCTTTGTTTGAAATGTGTAATTTTCAAATAACGCCTCACACCTTTTTTTTTAAAGTCATCACAAATATTTGTATGTAACTTCCTGGTGTCTTCTGTGTAGCAGCTGCGACACCTCCTCCAGGCTCTGAAGCTCCCTCTTTTATTTTTGTAAAACTCTTTGTGTCTTCTCTCTCCAGGGGCTCGTTTTGATGATGGGGCTGGGGGTGACAATGAAGTGCAACGTACTATGCTGGAGCTGATCAACCAGTTGGATGGTTTTGACCCACGAGGCAACATCAAAGTGCTGATGGCTACAAACAGACCTGATACTCTGGATCCAGCACTGATGAGGCCCGGCAGGTTGGATAGGAAGATAGAGTTCAGCTTGCCTGATCTTGAGGTGAGAATGCTTTCTTTCACAGATAAGTATATTCTGATATCAAACTGTTTATTCAGTTGGGGCATTATTGTCTGGATGCAGTTTATGAGAATTAACAAAAGCAGCACTCTTTAACTTCTGTGAAACTACATGGAAAACTGGGGGTTTAAAGATGTGCCAGAAAAGTTTTCCCACACTGCACAGAGTCCATGCCTGGCCAGGAAGCCATGGTAAACAGCTGTATTCACTGTGTATTCCTGACTCAACAGATAAAGATTCATTTAACCAGATCCATGGTTTAGTTCTTAAGTTAGAATGTGTTTTGTTTGGCTCTTTTGAGAGAGATTTCTTGAGGTACTTCTACCATTAAAGCTATTTAAAAAGTTATTTTCTTAATTTAGTAACGGACACATTAATATGCTAGTTCAGAGATGGGAAGCTGTAGTTGGGCAGCAAATAAGTTTTATTTTCCATCTGCCCTTGCTCTGGATGTGGACAGCTGCACAGTAGAGTCACTGTGAACAATTCTGTCCTTCATCCTTTTTTCAGGGGCGAACTCACATATTCAAAATACATGCTCGTTCCATGAGTGTTGAAAGAGACATCAGATTTGAGCTTTTGGCTCGGCTGTGCCCTAATAGCACAGGTAAGCTGAATTTATTTTTCTTAAACAATTTTCTGTAGGCTTCATCTCCACTGGGTGGTCAGTGTTGAATTTGTTTGTCCCTTTCTTTCAAAGGCGCCGAGATCCGCAGTGTCTGCACGGAGGCAGGCATGTTTGCTATCCGAGCACGTCGGAAAATCGCAACAGAGAAAGACTTCTTAGAAGCAGTGAACAAAGTCATTAAATCATATGCAAAGTTCAGTGCTACCCCCCGCTACATGACCTACAACTAATATCTTGGGATCTTTTTCCCGTTCCTGTTGTTAAACTTGCGGTGAAGCAAAAATCCAAGTGCAGTAATTCATGTTTTGTTCTTGGAAGCTAAAAATAAATGGAGTATTTCAAACAGGAGCTGTGAGTTCATTATGATGTGTTCTACATCAGCAGAGTATTGCTGCTGTAGGAAACAAATCTCAGTGAGATTCTAACAATACAGTCTAAACCAGTGCGTATTTTAAAAGCAGATACCTGGGCAATGTTAGAAATCCAAAGTTTAGATCCCTAGTGACCCTTTACACCCCAAAACTTACCATCTAAGCTGTAGATGTGCTGAAAGATCCCTAAGTGACTGCAGTGTTTGGGGGTGACCCAGAAATGCTTGTGTGATGCTCAGCACCAAGGTGTAAGTGTGTCCCAAGAAAACTTGCAGAAACTGAGCTGAGGAGAAGGCAGATGTAGCTCAGCTCAGCTCCAGTGCTTGCTTGGTGGTCGGAGTCACTGCCCAGCTTAGGGAAGACACGAAGGAATGTTGTTTTTTTTTCTCCCTAGGGGAACTCTGGTACTATCATAATTGTTTTATTTTTCTTCAGTGGTTTTCTTCATCTCTTGCTGAGATAGTAAGTGGGTCAAAAAGGATGAAGAAATAAGCGTAATTTCTTAGTTCTAAGGGAAGGAAGATTCCTTTTTCCTGTTCCTGCTCTAAAAATACATTATTAATAGACATCAGTCTACTAGGGAGCACTTTGATACATCACATTACTTGTCTAAGATGCTGCTGTGCACAGAGGAGGACCCTGATTGCATCCTGATGCTCTGGTAGCTGATGCTCTGGTAGCTGATGGTTGTTAGCGGCAGGCTACGCTGCAAGGTGGATCTTCACTCATCTAACATGTTCCTACAGAGCTGGATGGTTTGGACAATGAAAAGCAACAGCCTTTTGTTGTCTTTTTTTTCAAGTGTTGCATTAAAGTTTTTATTTTTGAGGGCGGTGTGTGGGAAGAGGTCAAAGAAATTAACTGGGAGAAAAATGCTTTTGGGAACTGCTTTGTCTTGGTCTTTATCAGGTCTCACTGTGATATAACACATCAATTTACCAAGCTTAGATTGTGAAGCCACTATTTTTTTTGAAAGAGGAAACGTGCAGTAGAGAAAGAGCAAGTGTGTGCAGTAGGGAAAGAGGGTGGGTGGTGTGTGGACTTTGTTAGGAATTTGGCCAGTGTTGGTAACTTGATATGCGAACTTAAGCAGTCCTGTGGTTTTGCCCATACCTCCTTGAAAAACTGCTCTCAACTGTTATGTGTTATTTTGGTAAGAACATTTTGTGGAGGGATAAAAGTTTATTGGTGGGACAATTTTTTTCATTCTGAGCCTGAGAGGAAAGTGAGCAGCACTGAAAGTTATCTATTTACCAAGAGCAGCACTGGAAATTAAGTGTACCTGTTAGTGAGGAAGGATAAGTGAAGTACATAAGAAGAGTCTGGATCTTACTGGGTATCTTGAATTATCATCAGTACTCTTGCAAAAAAAGGAGGGGGAGAGGAATATTCTTCCGATCATAAAGAGATGTCAAACCAGACTTGGGCAAGCCAGTGACCTTTGCTGTGGTGGGGCAGCAGCAGTGATTGGGTAGAGGCGCACTAACTACCCTGTCACTGTCGACATACTGGAGAGGGGAAAGATGAGCCCAGTATGAGTTTAAAGGATGGGGGTTTGTTTAATCTAGCACTGACAAGCCTAAAGTAGGATATACATATTTAGAGAGCAATCTGTTAATCAGTCTGGGAAAGAGGAAGTCAGTTTACCTTTCAGTAGCTAAGTGAGGCTAGTGAGTAGGGAGCTGTGCTTCTGCTGGTGGCAGCAAAGCACAGGAGAGACTGGTCAAAAGCTGCCAGATTTCATTTTGCTGGATAGTTACCAGCAACACTGGTAGCACGCAGGCGTGGGTGGCAGAGTACTAGTGCTGCAGAGCCTGGGATCTAGGACCTTCCTGGGCAAAGGTCTGTCAGTCCCACGTCTCCACAGCTCCCCAGAAGTGCAGCTGTTGCTGCCAGGATGGGAAACGGAGCATTAATGGTATCATTAATGTGGAATGGAGCCGAGGGGTGAGGAACAGGAACCTGAGTGGTGGGGAGGACCTGGAGGTGGTGACCCTTCCACCCCCTTGGCAACAGACACTTGCCTCCAGGCACCTTGGCATGTCCCACATAGAAGGTGTCATCAAGACAAAGTGGAAAATTTTGACAAGTCAGGATCATCACTTTATTCTGGGAGTTGACAGGATTTTGACATGAACTGAAGAGACTACATAGTTAAAAACTGAAGCTGCAACAAGCTGAAAGTAGAAAAATATACTGTATGTAGATACAAAGGCTTGTTAAACTAGTTATAAAATGTACCACAAGTTGTTTAAATAAACACACACAATGTGTTAACATGCATTCAATTAATCCTTTGAACTCCAGCTAAGCAGTAATTTCTGATGCAGAAAGCTTCCTATCCCTATTGGCAGGGGAGTCTGAGGAAGTCAAACATCTTCCCAACTGCCCCCGGTTCTTGGGAAATTTGGTTTACCTGAAGCAAGCCCTAATCGCAACAGATCTTGAAGCAAAAGGAAAGTATTAAGTTCTGCATTCAGAAGAAAGGAAGTTGTTTGAATGCCCTTATGCACAGGACCTTTGATTGAGGGTGCTAAATGAAATGTCACTGATGCTCCACTTCCCCTGTGCTGTTGAAATAACCCACAGAGAAACACTTTTAGGTTCCCACCTCTGCTCAGATTCGTAGTGATTGTTGTTAGGGAAACACAGGTGTTGGAAGATTGCCCTCTTTTTCTTAAATTACATTTCCATGTTTTTCATCTCACATCTGAAATTAAGCAGTACCACAGCAGCCAGATTGTGAAGACAATCAAAAAAACACCCACACTACTCCTTTTAAAAAAACCTAAACCTAATATTTTTGAGTTCTATTGAAATCTATTTTGTCCTGGTTTCAGCTGGGATAGAGTTAATTTTTTTTTTTTCTGGTAGCTGGTATAGTGCTGTGTTTTGGATTTAATGTGGGAATAATGCTGATAACACACGGATGTTTTAGTTGTTGCTAAGTAGCACTTACCCTAAGTTAAGGATTTTGTAGTTTCCTATGCCAGTGAGCAGGTGCACAAGGAGCTGGGAGGAGCATGGCCAGGACAGCTGACCAAACTAGCCAAAGGGCTATTCCATACCACAGGATGTCATGCTCGGTGTATAAACTGGGGGGAGATGGCCACGGGGCTGGTTGATGCTCAGGCATCAGTCAGCAACTGCACTGTGCATCACTTCTCTGGGTCTGGGGTTTTATTTCTTTTTTTTTTAATCTTCATTTTCATTACTACTATTATTAATATATCTTAATTATTGTATTTTATTATAAAACTGTTCTTAACCCACAATTTAAACTTTTTTTTTCAATTCCATTCACCTCCCCATGCCACTAGGAGGGGGAGGAGTGAGCAAGCAGCTGCATGGGGCTTAGTTGCTGGCTGAGGCTAAACCACAACAATTACTCAACGCTGAGGCAGAAGCAGCACTGCTGGTAGGAAGGTCTCAGGCAACAGGAAAGTATTTCTCTCTTCATAGACCACTGAGACTTTAGACCCTGTCTACATTTTTATTCCATCTGACAAGATTGCATATAGGGCATCAGTTCATAATTTACTTTTAAAAGGCTTCACTCCTGCCTTAAACCAGTTTTGTCTTCACACTTTGAAGCTAAACTAATTTTAGCTTAAAATCAACTATTCTTTTGTAGAAAGTATAATTTTGTTTTGGCAGTGAATGTACCATTATTGATAATGTAATAACTAAACAATGGGTTTCTAATCTGAAGTTCACTTAGAGTGAAATCGTTAAGGCAACAAAGAGCTGAGTATAGTTGAGACAGGTTAGATATTTAAAAAATTAACTGTACCATCCAGGTTTAAAAAGTGCAGCAGCTAAACACCACCAGTGTGAATTCATTAATCCAGCTGGCAGATTAATTTAATTTATATAAATCTGTTGTGTGTAGATGTTGACATCAGGCTTTAAAAGTAATCCAGAAGTTCTTTAAAGACACTGGTACAGTGCATTGCAATTGCAGAACAGTTATTTCCTGCAAGATCCCACCTCGTAGTGAGTTAAAGTGCCCATTTTCTCAACAGGAGTAGGAATGTCACCCTGTCTATTGGATTCTGATTGTAGCAGAATACACTCAATTTTTTTGTCTTGCATAATTTTGTGCTCATATGTTTTGGAAGGATATACCCTGATTGAAGGAAAAAATTCAAGAGCATGAAGGCTTCCAATTCCTTATTCACTCTTCCTACAGAAAATAAGCACCATCCTATACCCGTAGATACAAATAGCCTTAGGCTCTCTTTAAACTGTGCAAATTAAATATTCAGAAAGAGTCTCCATCAGCATAAATCTGGCTTCCATTCTGCTTGATGCCACTCTTCAGAGGTCAAAGTTAGTCTGTGAAGCAGACCTGTCTTTCACTTGGCAAGCAAGTACAGCATCATGAATACTGTGAAACAGCAGCTCTCTTGTTACAGTGTTATCAAAAAATTTCAGTCTTGTCAGTTCATTCATAACAGGGCCTAAAAAATAAAAGCCAAACATGCCATCAGTGCATAAATTAAAGTACAAAAATGGAAGACAATGCTATCTCAGGAAGAAGATGCCAACTTGATCACGTACTTATTTAAATTTAAAATAGCCAGGTGGATCACATACTACTTCTACTCCAAATGGGTAATTCTCTTATCCAGACATAGACAAGAGGCCTATTCTTGGCAGAAGATGTTACAATTACAACTATCAGATACTTGGAACATTGCAGGCTTTTCTTCTTATTACATTATTACAACAATTTCAAGATAAGAAGTTCCATGTGGCATTTACAATTTGCCAGCTGGAATAAACGGGAGGGGGATGCTGTCCTCACAGAACTCATTACATCAGTGCTCTACTTTCACAAAAAGTGAAGGGTCTAATGCATATGGACTTGCTTTTTCTCAAATGCAATTCTAATCCAATTTTACGTGAAGTAAGTGCTGATACTACTGAGGTGCCTGGCAGCAAGAAAGTTTGGGGCCAGAGGGAAAGAGATAAAACACAGTCTCTCCCATAAAGCACACTGAACAAATTAAAATCTCAACTCACCACTACAGCTGGCAATACAGACACAGACACCAACTTCCTTGTATTCTTTTATAATCTGCAACAGAGTTAAACCGAAGTTAAACACAGGTATACCAGTGTACACATTGCAGCTCTGGAAGATGTAAGCCAATTACTGTGAAATTGTCCACAGTCCACATTCCCCAGTATTCAGCTAAAACTTGCAGGGCTACAGAATTAAAACCGTGATTAGGTGAAATACTGGATTGCATTTGAGCTGGCATTTATGTCTCATGCTGACGGGTTCCCTATTAGGTTATCTCAGAAATTTTCTATTGTTTTTGCTGGGGAAAAAAACCCTACTTACTGATTTTAATGTTTTTGCTCCAACTGAATCCACAAAGTTCACTGGTGTAAAATCCAGAATTAAAGAGTGGATGTTTGGTTTGGGCTCCACAAAATGTTCGTGCTCATCAGGAGACTTGTCTTGTACACTAGCATCTGCAGATGCAAATTTTCCATTTACAGGTAACTCATCATTTGCTATCTCATGTTTTACGCTTGCTTCCACGTCATTAGTCTGGGACAGAAGATAAATAAAGCTTAATAACAGCCAGTACTTTTTCAGCATAGATCCCCTTCCTCCCCATACTCACCTATTTTTTCAGCCTTTAAAAGATGTACAGCTCCTAACCCTTAGAGAAACTGGCTTTACACACACACACACACACACACACACACACACACACACTTCCATATCATGTATATCAAGGTTTATTCTCTTAGACCCAGCCTTTCTGCAGTCACATGCAAGCACCTTAAAGCTGTTATCTCAGGAACAAGTTACCCATTTCCTTCAAACACTGACACCTGTTCATATGTTTTTAACTCCATTTCCTTGCCTTAACCCTGCTGATTCTGACAAGGCCTATCTATTCAAAAGAAGCAACAGCAATTGGGCTCTTAAGTTAGGCATTTGGTTGGTAAAAAGCACACACCAGCTCCCACCATGAGGGTAAATTTAAACATGCACAAAAGCACAAGTATGTTTCAAACAACCCTTTTTAATGTACCTGCCCACACCAAGATCAGCAGTGTGGATGACACCTTTTTATTACAGGCGATGCTAATTTGAATTAATTTTATTTATATAAATTTATATAATATTATTTGTCTGGAGTACTGTGTTCAGCTCTGGGGCCCCCAGTGTAAGAAAGACATGGACCTGCTCAAGTGGGTCCAGAGGAGGGACACGAAGAAAATCGGGGGGCTGAAGCACCTCTCCTATGAAGACAGGCTGAGAGAGTTGGAGTTGTTCAGCCTGGAGAAGAGAAGGCTTTGATGACACCTTAGAGCGGCCTTCCAGTACTTAAAGGGGGCTACAGGAAAGATGGGGAGGGACACTCTATCAGGGAGTATAATGATAGGACAAGGGGGGACTGTTTTAAACTGAAAGAGGACGAATTTAGATTAGATATGAGGAAGAAATTGTTTCCTGTGAGGGTGGTGAGACACTGGAACAGGTTGCCCAGAGAAGTTGTGGCTGCCCCCTCCCTGGAAATCTTTAAGATCTCCTCCAACCCAAACCATTCTATGAGTCTGATTCTATGATATCCTATTTCTGTATGATTATTACAACTTTGTGGGGAAGGGCAGAGGTAAGGTCTCTGCAATTTCGACTGACATCTCTGCTAAGACAGTATGACAGCATGGAAGGGCTCTACTCTGCTATGTGCTACCAGAATGTAATGAAGGTTCAACACAGTTATCCAATCCAGCCGTGAGCCTCTGATCCTTATGCTGTCCCCTCAGCAGCCTGTCCACATTGCACAGTGCTTGCTCCTAAGCCTTCCTACCTGAGTAGCACTCTGCACTTTGTATAAACAAAATTGATAACTTAAGAAAGCAGCATGTTAGCTGATAAAGTAGAGGTAAATATTTACCGAAGAATTCACTAGTTTCAGTACAGCTTTCTTTCTAAGTTCATTTGCTGCCTTTATTTCCCGGGTGTGCCTCTTCTGGGCTTTTCTCCTTGCTGCCAATACGGCACAAGGGTCCACTCCAGTCTGTCATAAAAAGAAAGCATGATCAGAGGAGATTCAGCTTGTTAGGATGACATTGCAGTATCAATTAGCATTGAAATTCATCACTGTCAAATTTTAAACACAAGTCTGCATTGTTCAGCTTTCCTTGGTGGGTGTGAAAATAGTATAAAGTAAGAAAGAATAATCTTGGCAAGCACTGTGTTAAAAAGATGAGGAATAGATACATCACATTCTTTTCTTGAAATCAGAATGCCATGTTTCAACCAAATGCTGATTTGGGTGCACAGAGCAAAGGGGAGAGAAGTGGATTTGGACATAAATCACTAATACCTCTTGCTTTGTGAAGGTAAGTACCACCCACCTGTTTTGCATAAGACTCATCGTGGGAGCTACAGAAAAATGTTTCAGAAGTTAGTAAGGGTGCAATTGCTACTGGGTCAGGCAGTTCTGCCCTTAGCTAGTTCTGTTATTGCTGTTCCCACCCAGTCAAACACCGGTTACACAAGAGGTGAGGCATACTCTATGCAGGTAACTTGTTGCTCACGAGAACCATTAAATGCCCACAGTATTCCACAGTCCTACATTCCAGTAAAGTTTGTCACCCAAGAAGGAAGCTTTTACTCCCAGAAATTTTGTTTTCAGTTCAACATCTACTTATTTTCTTCTGAAAAAAAAAAGTGTTTGACCAGTTTGTGCTATGCAACCACCAGACTTTCCATTCACAAGCAGTTAGTATTAAGCTACACTTTGTCCATTTATTCCCTCCCACCATGTTGTTGCTTCCTAAGGTGATTTGCAGTTGGCTAGAGGGTCCCCTTCTCCTATTTTACTGGTCACCAGGGGCCGCAGGCTGAGAAACACTGTGCTAGAGGCTACACTAAAGGAGCTGAAAGATGAGCATGTTTCAGAAGCCAGTCTGAATTTTCAAGATATAGACACTAAAGAATTTGCTTTACTCACCTTCTTCTTCAGTGCACTTGTATATGACTCACTATTGGCAAAATAAAGTGATGCATTAGCTTGAAATATTTTTATTCCAGGATATTCTTTAACCTAAGGAAAGGAATATTGAATGTTCACAGTTATGTACTGCCTGCACTAGAAGAAAAGCACCTGTGTGATCACAAAGATATATCGAGCATGCAGCAGCCCAACAGCCAACCCTCAATATAGCGCTGAGGGATATGGTGTAGTTGGGAACTGTCAGTGCTAGGTTAACAGTTGGACTAGATGATCTTCAAGGTCTTTTCCAACGTAGTTGATTTTGTCTGTGATTCTGTGTGTATGAATGGCTATCAGCACACATCAAATAAAGAAGGTTGTCATTATTGTGAGCAAAGCCAATCAGAAGATCCGAACCTCCTCCTTTCCTAGTGTGATGCTGCACACATTAATGTCACATGACATTTCTCCTTTATAACAACGAAATGTACAGCCATAAAAAGGAACTACATATTTGCAGTTCTCTGATGTTGCTATCTGAATGTGGCATTACCACGAGGAAATGATGCAGATCTAGGAATGCTTCCTCTTAGCCTCCCTTTCTACAGGCATGACGACTTAATTCTCTCTCTCTCTTTTTCTTTCTTGTCTCCTCAGGTACCAAAAAAGAGCCATCTTTCAAATCTTTCATTTCAAACAGGCCTTCAGATAGGTCTCAATATCACTTCTTTCCTCTACTTTAAATGAAGTCATCTCTAAACAGGCTGCACTCTGACATTTTACATGCAAATGACCCGGCCAGCAGCAGAGATGCAGCCTGACACATGCTGCCAACCCCATTTTTATACCGGAGGAGGAAATGCTAACTGCATTCAGTGTAACAAGAATGGAGTCTTCTCTTTGCACACAGCTATAAACATGCCCATATATGCTTTTGCTTTGTATCATATTCAAAGCAGAGCTGCTGGTGAGAGAATATTTTCAGATTACACCATCATCTTTTCACATAGGGTTTTACAGACTGGTTCCTCAGTAAAGGGGGATGTAGCCTTCATGGGAGTATCTCTGAGAATATGGCAGAGAGCACAGAAAATTCTAGTTGCTGTTACAGTGTGTTTATATCCATTATATTGACAAAATACACTCCTTTCACCCACTTTTGATTGAACAAAATGGCATTTATAAGCAGCTAAGGGCATGGCAAGCAACTGTGTCATTAATCATATATATTGAATGAGTAGGGGATGGGTGGAGGCAGGGAGATGCTGATTGGAACAGTTTGTGCAATTCTGAACAACATACCAGTTTGGATCCCGGTTCCATAGATTTCATGCAGTATGGCCATGAAAGTAAAGAAAGTGCCTTGTATGCACTTGTGTACACAGCAGGTTTAGCAGTTGCATTCCTATAAGCCTCACTATTTTGTACAAGCTAGCACAATTAGTTGGAACTAGTATAGAAGTTACTTTTGATCACTTCCTGGTTAAATGGACATGCAGTACAAAAGCTAGCATTTTGAACAAAATAGCCTTTACTACTAAAATCAAGTTTATTTTCTTTCCTGTCAACAGAGGTGAATGCTAGGCAGACAGCACTGTATGTGCAGTAGGGTAGGGCTAAGCAACAAATTGCCACAGTCGCCTTTGCTCCACTTTTCAATGCAGAAGAATACACTCCTACCTCTTCATATTCTTCCACATCACAGTAGATGTCAGTGTTGGGAATCTGACCAAGAATTCTGTATTGAGGGCTAGAGAGAAATGGGGAAGTGAGTTTTCAATACACATTGAAACTTATTTTAAACGGTCATTCTGCAGTGCCTGTCTGGTACAGGCTTATCTCAACATTGTCAAAAGCAGTGGGCAGTTTATGGCAGAAACACAATAAAGGGGCCATTTGGTGACTAGACAAGATAGCTTCTGTCAGTGCAAAAACAAGTTATAAACTCAGCACTGTAATGCTGTAGTTTTCTCAAAAGCATGGGCCAAAGCATGCAAAAGGTACAGGGCAAATTCTCTTTGGTATGAACTGGTGCAATTCCATTATCTTGCAAATATGGAAACTCATACCGGCAGAAAACATGCTGCACCTTCAAAGAGCCACTCTACTCCCAGGACAATGCCTGAGCAGATGAATATTTCCAACTCACAAGCAGTGTGACAGTGAAGTACATTAATGTTCTGTTTGCAAGAACAAAACCGTATAGAGATGGCAGAAAAATATTCTTATTTATGCAGAGTGGAAATCTCAGAACTTGGTTTCATTCCAATGCAGACCAAAAACAAGACATTTATACATTTTTCACCTAGATGTCCCAGACCTTGTGCCTAGAAACCTCACATGCAGTCCTGTCCACACATGTAAGAAATAATTTTCCTGTAGACCTCCAGGTCTACAAAAGCTTCACAGTAAAAACTTTATCACTTTGAATGGGGAGAGAAGTGATCTGAAAAACTAGAGGGGCTGGCACAGTTTTTTGATGAATTAGAACTTTCTTATCAAATACCTAAACATTCATCTAGTGATAACCTTACACATCTTCTGTGACAACTAGTGCAGATGAAATGTTATCATTTACTGAAACCGGCATCAAGCAGATTTGAAGTTCTAAACTTTAAGTCATTAAAAAATTAAACAAGAAGATTAACCACTATAACAAACAGAAAATCTTCTGTTTACTATTGAAATTGCAAGTTCATGCCCTCTAGAAATTTTGTTCTCAGAAAAATAAAATGAGAACCCTGGATCAGAGCCAGAGGGCATGACCTATATTATGAAGCAGATTCTATACTGATGTAGTTGAAGAGGGTGGAGTGGTCTTCTCCTTATTTGCACCCCTTAAACAAACAAAACCACACAGAAGATCAGCAAACACTAATTTTGATAAAGAAGAAATCTGACCTTTGCGTTCTGTAAATAACAGTTATCATTGCAAACGCTACTGCGGTAAGCAAACCATAGTCTAGTCCCAGGAGAAGAGAAGCCACAAAAGCTACGACCCAGATGGCCTAAAACAAAGAAAAGGTCTGAATTATTATGCATCCTTTTCTGTTAACAGCAAAAACAATAGCATAATTCAACCTCAAAACCTATGTATTAGGGCATAAAAGGTCAAGGTGCACTAACATAACATCAAACTGTCACATATTAATTAATGCCTCAAGTCCTGTTCTCCAAGGAATCCTGTGTTACCAGACTCCAAATACCTTAGGATTAAAAAAAAAAAATAAAAAAAATAAAAAAAAAAATCAAACAGCTCTCACTTACTTCCATCAGCTAGTCAATCCACCAGAAACATGCCACCAAAATGTTACCTCCAATAGACTCTTACTTCTGGCCCACTCCAGCCAGGATTTTGGTTTGTCTTAAAAGATGGTAAATACCTCAAAGTAGTTTTCTTTGCTACTCTCTTTCAAATTCTACTCAGACATTCCCACAACCTCCAGTGCAGTTCCTATAGCAACACTGCAAAAGCTTTCCTTTTACTACAACCAAACTACTTCTGACCTTAGTTAAAGGTTGTTGAACAACCACAAAAACATTTTTCTCTGCAACAGATCACTCTCCTAGGGTACTTACAGCTTCATGTCTTATGTACATCTGCAATGCAACATCAATTTGTAAACTCCTTGATAAGTTTCTACCCCATTTTGGGGGTTAGGAAGAAGAGAAGCAGCAAATCTAATATAGTAGAATATATTCACTGTGCTGTGCATTACTCACCAGCTCAATCCTACTGGTTCTCCAGAAGTGCATGACATCTCCGAACTGTTTAAACATTCCTTTCAGGTTCACCATGACAATTGCAGCTAGCACTGTCTAAGAATATTACACAAATGCAATTTTCAGAAGCAAAATAAACCAAATGCCAAATACTTCAAAGCATCACAGATAACTGTATTTCTGTCCTTTGTACAACTCATACAAGTCTACTGAACAGACATTCCATTAAAAAAACCCAACTTTTCAAGTAGTTCAGTGGAGATATGTTTTTACTACTACTGCAGAAATGGCAAGCCAGAGTCAGAACAGTTTGATATACTCTTTCCTAGCAAGACAAATCACATATTCCTGAGCTCCATGCTGCGGCGATTGTAGTGCCTTTAGTGCCTGAAGCAGCTAGACTATAATCTCAAATTCAAGTTTCTCTACAACATACTGCAACAATTCCTGCAAGTCATGTAAGTGTAACGCAAGATACTTCTCCTATAAAAAGAAGCAGGAAATGCATATCATCCTATGCATGTCACCAGAAGCAAATTTTTTTTACAGTCAGATTTATTCTTATAAATATATTTTTATACAAATAGTAAAACTGCTTAACAAAACCAACCCATTATGCTAAGCCATCACCCAGCCCCAACCCTTTCCTTGCTGAGCTCTGACTTTCTTTTAACTTTTTAACCTCTTCCCAGAATTCCTATGCTGCAATTAAATTCTCCTGTACTTAGCAGTGGTGAGGCCACACCTTCAATACTGCATTTAGTTTTGTGTCCCTCAGTGCAAGAAAGACAGTGAGGTGCTGGAGCGTGTCCAAAGAAGAGCAACGAAGCTGATGAAAAGTCTGGAGCACAAGTCTTATGAGGCACACCTGAGGGAACTGGGGTTGTTTGGATAAAAGACGACTCAGGGGAGACCTTATCACTCTCTACAACTACCTGAAAGGAGGTTGTAGCAACGTGGGTGTTGGTCACTTCTCCCAAGTAGCAAGTGATAAGACAAGTCGAAATGGCCTCAAGTTGTACCAGGGGAAGTTTAGATTGGATATTAGGAAAAATTTCTTCACTGAAAGGGTTATCAAGCATTGGAACAGGCTGCCCAGAGAAGTGGTTGAGTCACCATCCCTGGAGGTGTTTAAAAGATATGTAGATGTGGTACTTAAGGACATGGTTTAGTGGTGGACTTTCCAGTGTTAGGTTAATGGTGGGAGTTGATGATCTTACGGGTTTTTTCAATCTAAATGATTCTAAAGAGGAATTGTGTTTTTTTGAAGGTATCATTTTTACGTTCTGAAAACAGTCCAGAATGTCCAATATTAAAAACTACAACAAAAAGCATGCTGAATGCTTCAAAATATTATTAATTTCTAGCCTAACTTACAGCAAAAATGCATACAAAATTTAAAGCTTTCTGGATCAAGGCCTAACTGTGTGACTTACTAATCATCCCACAACCTCTATTTTAAGCAGTACTCACTGGCCTCAGTTCACTGACAATGCAATGCCTAACAGGCAAAACTCCCTTACCTGTGGAAGTGGTTCAAAGAGGTATCCAATAGCCACAATTACCAACAGAACCATAATTGAAGAGAGAGCACCTGCAATCTGAAAAAAAAGAAGCCATAAATAATTTATAAGGGCTCCCAAAGGCAAGTATTACTGATTAGGTAACCCCTCTTGAACAAACAGCCTTGCGGAAAGCACAAGTGACTTGTGATCCCTCCCACTCAGTTCACCCATTCTGGTTGTCATGCAGCTTTCTATCCTGGACCAATCTGAATTTGAAACATGGGAAACTTTCTGCCCCAGGCAGAGGAATTTGGCAATCTAGCAAAGCTTCAGACTTTAGTTTTGAAGCTCCAAAAAGTAAACTTTGTTTGGCTCAAAATTTGGTTTTACATACCTGAGTTTTTCCACCAGTGCTTTCCTGAACAAGACTCCGAGACATTGAACAAGTGATTGAAAAGCTTTGGAAAAATGACCCCACAGAGTTGCATATTCCCAAGGCAATAAGTTCCTGTGTTAAACAACAGAGTAAAATAAAAGGCAGTTATATCTGGCAACTGTAAAAAGCTGGAGCTATCCATACATATTAATAACCACATCTTATTTACAGTGCTTTCTAGTAATCTTATTGTAAGGAATAAGCAATCCTGTTGTAGCTTATATCTGTGGTGCTCACACATACACAAGTTGATGCATGTTAAATCAGCTGTAAAATAACGTATCTGATGAAGTGCTGGAGACATTTCCCATCCTTAAATATTACAGTATTGAGTTGGAATGAAAACTAACATGAATAACAGCATTGCTTGTTTAAGGATTTAACTTGGGGATAACTTGAATTTTTACCCAGAAAATGGTTTCTCATACACACACTGTTCTTCACTTCCCACCCTAAACTATCTGTTTAGTACTATTAGAACCAAGAGCAGCCTTGGCTGTGTTTCCATGGGTGGTAACCCATTGCTGAACATGAAAAAAACAACGTGTGTCCACTGCTTCACCAGGAAGATCCCACATGAGAACTGTTACTGTGCGTGAGATGAGAGCTCCATCTGTACTGTGTTTCTGATGCGCAAGGAAGTATTTGTTTTTCATGAGGACTTCCCAGATTACTCTGCATCCCGTTATTTGTAACTGGTGTGATTTGAGTTATACATTTTCAATAGTTCTCAGTGAGTTTTTCCTCTTTGCATTTGTACAATCCTTTTCTGATTCTTTTAAACAGCATGCACAGCATTCTGTGACAAGGACTTCTATGGTTTAACATCCAGGTGAAATAGTATCTGGCACCCCCTGAGAAAAAGAGCTAGATGCTTAACTCAGGTCAGTGATTATTATTTTAACTAATGTAAATAGAGCTGATTCCATTCACACAGCTCAGGATTTGTCCTCATCTCTCTTTGGATAACAGAGAACAATGACATGAAGGATCAGATTCACCTAAGCAGAAGTAAAACTCTGTAGGTAAAAGTCATTTAAACTCCATTTACTCTCAGAGTAAGAGTCATTTTGAGAAGGGGGAACAGCTGATCTGCGCTGTGTCAGATGCTTGCTCTAGAAAATGCATTACAGCATAGGAACTTTCTGTCTCCCTTGACACCACAATGATCTCAACCAATAATCCAACTGCAATATTGATTGTAAATTGCACAGGAGGGACAGAGTAGGTGAGGATGACATATTATTTTAGTTTTAGAAAGTCCCTAACCACAGCCTTTATCACTCAAATCATGATCAGAATGCTAACTACGGACAGGGCCAATTGCTACCCCAGAAAATGACAAGCTGCATATTTGCAATGGGTTGGAATAAAAAGAAACTATAAGACATAACTGGAATTTCTAAACCTTAGATAATAGTTCTTTGACACATAAGGCATTGTATTTATCCTGTGGGAACTCTATGCTCCACTGTATTACAGAAAGCAGAGATAAAGTAGCTGCCCATCAGAACAGTGGGCTAAGTCTGTCCCAACAGTTAATATTAATGCATATGTCCAATTCTAACAGATGCAAGTTTCCCAAAATGAAACTAAAAGCGAATCTGGTTATTAAAACACAGCCAGAACAACTTAAAATAATTCCTGGCATTTAAATGTGTAGGCTGTCAAAAACCTGACTTGATTCCACAATGAAAGAAAAACTAGTTTTTTGTCCAATATCCCATTCTACTTTAATGGTGTAACAAAGGTGCTACTGAGAATTTTCAACAAAGCAATCCCAATACTTTTACCTGATTCCCATCAATGGTGTAGCCATGTTTAAGGGCAAAGATCTTGGACATTGATACAGCCATCGAAAATCCAACTATTGCTATTGCTATCGCATCCACAAATATTGCTGGGATGAGCTGAATCTCGGGAACTGCTGGTGCACGTAACCTTGCAGATGAAATAAATATTTACAAATTACTATACTAAAAGCTACATGCCATATGGAAAAGATATAGTTTGAATAAGAATATATCACCCCTACCCTTGAGGAATATTGCCAACAACATCCACTCTGTATGACTCGTTCAGATTCATTCCAGCTGAAACTCCTGTGCCAATAATTACCTAAAAATCCACAAACACATTTGTAAACATCAGCTAGAAAGAGATAAAGCCATAAAGAGATGAAGAACTAGTAACAGTTAGCTGATTATGAATAATAGACAAGGGATTACATTTATTTGTCAATCAGTTTTCTAAGAGTTTGGGGGTAAAGAAGCAGATAAAAATAAGGAAGTATCATAATTTTCCTTCCATCATTTTCAACCCCCACTGATTTTATAAAATTTTCTTGGAAACAGTTAAATGGAACATGCTATGGTATATCTGAATCACTTGAATTTTCTTTGCCTGAGCCAAGCTCAGGCAGAACAGTGTATAGCAAAATGAAATGCAAGGACAAGCCAAGGATGTCTGCACTGCCATATTTTCACATGCATAACCTGCATGCTCTCCGTGAACAGAACTGGTGCAGCAGCAGTGAAAGGAACAGGTGTAAGTGCTTTGCTATTGCCTTACTATTGAACAATACCCTATTACACCAGCTCCATCATCTAACAGCATCCCTTTTCTTTGTTCCTTCTATCTAGATTGAACGTATACCTTCAGTTATTCCCTTTCTTGCCTCTGTTTTTTTTCAGGTTGTTTGAGAGCTCTAGTTAACCAAGAAATAATTTTTAAATCCAACCACTTTTAAAGGTTAAAGGTTATCTGAGATGTGGGATTTGTGTGCATTAAGATAAGTCTGCTTTATCCATGTATTTTAAGAGCAGTCATCTGAAACAGAATCAATGCTGCAGTCAGTTACCAGTCTCAGAAACAGAGAAAGGAAGGTGAAGTAGTAAGTCCCACTGGTTCCTGCTCTACCACTGCATTTTAAAAAGCAAGCAAGCCCTGCAGAACTCTGAAACGGGCATCTGTAAGCACCTTCCTTCAGGAGAGGGTTCTGAGCTCCTGAACTCCAAGTGGGAAATGCCACTCAGAGGCACGTCTTGCAGGGAATCATTCAGGTGCCAAAACCCCAGGATAGAGTGGGTTTTACAACAAATCTCTACCTACCCATTGCCACAACGGACTGTGGGTCTTTAAATGGGTTTTCAATTCTTCTTTGGGACTTTACACCTAAAACGTGGGCATGTCAGTCCCTAATCTTATGAGTATCCAAATCTTAAACTGGATCAAGCCTCAAATGAAGTATGTTCAATGGAAGTTACTCTAAAGCTCAGTAAGACTTGATAGAAAATGAGACAGTTTCTACAGCTTTAGAATGGTTATATAATTTAGCTATAGAATTTCATAACTTGCTTACCACAATGATCTCCATAGGAATAGGAACTGGAAGCTTCTTCTTAAACCGGAGATTGATTTCCTTGCCAATCAACAACAGAACAATGCACGTTAATCCAACAATCAGTGCAGCAATATTGGTTGTTGTTATTTTTGAAAGCACAGCAGCAATGCTCTGTAACAAAACAGAAGAATTATAATTATTCCTAAGAAAATACAATCTTCATGAAGATTTGCCACAAAAAAGCAGATTATATACTGCTGTTCAGCTGTGTTTTCATTCTGCATTCATAACCACAGTGAATTAGTGCCTCACCAAAATCCTCATTGTTCCAACAAAATATGTAAGTTCAGAGTATCTCAGTGAGGGAGATGCAATCATTTACAATATCAGTTTTTCTCAAATGGGTCAAAAATTGGGAGAAAAAAAACTATAATAGGGAAGAAAGTCTAAACTAAACCACATCTCTTATCCTCAGGGTTTTCACACATATTTCATGCTGGCAGCTACCTGAAAGCATTAAATGCAAACTCACTCTAATACCTTCAAATATTCTTTGGCAAGTCACATCTACTTAGACCTGCAAAAACCATTCTAAAACGGTAAAGCAGCTGATAACCATTGAGGTTACCATAGCAATAAGATTAAATAACAGTGATCTTGCAATACTGCTGAACTGGCCATTATTCCAAATATCTTTTAGTTGAAAACATTATTAAAGGTTGTTAGGAAAGAAACACACAAGTTTCTAGAGGGTAAATGATTCCCCTACCAATTACCCCTCCTTCGACTGTTTAAAAAAATAAAAATGAATAAATGACCTCTGGAGAGGCCTTTGAAAAAATATGTACATACCCTTCTTTAGACAGAAGGAAAATTACAGCAACTATCAGTTTATTATACATTCAAGATGTCCTGGTAGTACACTTGAATGTATATCTTCCCTCCTACTTGTTTGGCAGTTAGTATGTCTGGTTTCTGGATTGCTGAACCAAAGAGTAAATTTAGGAATTAATCATTAGTACAGCCTTGTTTCCAAAAGGTTTGTTATATCTACACAAATGTGTAAGAAAGATTCCCACAAAGTATTTTCTGTAGCTTTCATGTAGTCAAAATCCTAACGCTTCAATATTGCTGAGCTATCAGTCTGCTCAAAAGCTTACATTTTCACAGATATCAGAGATCTTCCCTATTCTTCTGCTCAGGAGTTCTTGTCTGCAGAATCAGAGCACTGATTTGATGTTAACAACTTGGGTCTTCCTAGGCTGGCAGGCATAATAGATTTAGATGCATTTCAACTCTGCTTGTTCACAACAGCAAGAAAATAATGCTCATAGAAACTTAAAAGCTTTGGTTGTGATTTCAGTTAGAAATGTCCCTTTAAACAAATAATTTGTTGCATGGGATTCATTACATTTTTTTTCAGATCACAACTGTCAATTTTAAATTCAAGTGAACAAGAGCTTTTAGTTTTACTTAAGTCATACTAACTGAACCATAGCTTTACACTGAATGTTTTTTCTTCTGTTTTCTTGAATCACTATGTGTTAGACAGAAGGTGAGTGGAACACTAGTCTGTGAGCTACATCAAACACTGGATCCCTACACGCTCTGTACAATCAGTTGTAATGCTCAGTGTCTTCGATAAACAACGTTTTACACTGAGTGTCCCTATTTCAAAATAGTTTCTCCCATTACTCTAAAGAGCAGGTACATTCATGACAACACAGCACTTTGCATCCAACCACACTACAAAATAGCTAACAAACAGGAAATGAAGAATACTCCCATCAGGAGCTGTGTGTGGTATTAAAGAAATAAAGACTGTACAAGGTTCTTCAAAAAACATTTCTTAGCTTTGCAAAACATGTCTGGTCTACCGTGAAGCATTTTAGTAGCACATTTTCCCATGATGTACAAGAGACTTGCTTCAATGAACATTATCTGTTTATATTACAAAACTACATTTAGCAGAATCCTAAAATCTGCCCATCGGAGACCATTCTGATCTATCAAGTTGCACCCAAGCTGCGCTTCAAGATGCTCAAATATCTATGGTACTTAAAGACCTCATACACAGTTTTGAATACTGAAGCATTATTCCATTTAGTGCTAAAAGAATTTAAAAAAATAGGAAAAGCCTTATATACTATATCCAGACAATGCAGAATTTGCCAGTTTAGTAAATGTAGTTACTCACGTATACAACTGAGAGGGGTCCACTGTATCGGTTAGTCTTAATGCCAAGGAGATACTTTAATTGAGAAGTAAAGACATGAACCGCAGCAGCAGTAGTAAACCCTCGCACCAGAGGCTCCGTTAAATAGATGGCTACAAATCCAAATCGAAGGAGACCTAAACACAACTAATGAAGAAGAGAAATATTAACCATGTTCAGGCTACAGTGGGAGTCACATCACCACTATATAGCAGATGGGTCACAGGACACCTCGTCTTACCTTGATGCCCAAGCCAGATCAGGCAAACCTGAACTTGGACTTTCTAAAGCCACAGTTCTGTAAGCAGCCCCTAAAGGCACCAAATCTTCCATGCCACTGGCAGGTGAAGTATGGAATATGGGTAAACATATGTGTTTGTATGCATTTATTAGAGAACATCAGGTTAAGTTTTTTCTGATGGGATAGGGATAAAATGAAAGGGAGGAGGTTAATTTTTCCCAGTCAATCCAAGATGCCAGACAAAGACTTGCAACCAACGTATCCCTCCCCACTTCTGTTATGTGGCTGCCACAAAGCAGCCTGTATTCTACACAGTGCAGTGCTGAAGCACGTCTATTGACAGGGAATCCACCATGACCCAGCACCCCCTGCAACTGCAAGTCTAGCAGCAGCATCTGAACTTGCCCTTAGAGCAAACTACAAGAACATACCTGGATAATTCCTGAAAGAAAGGCGAGAGTCACAGCTACCTGTACCCTCTTGGTATCCCTAGCATGGTAATATTCAAGGGAATCCGTAACATTAGTAGAATTATAGCCTACAGAAATTATTTCATCAGGCACTTGTCTCACAGCAACACCACCAACCATCATACTAATCACAGCAAAGGTGCCTGAAATTAGGAGAGGAAAAGAATTGGTTAGAATTCTGGTGTGGTTTTTCTTTAGGAGTGGTTCTTATTAAGATATATTAAACTATAACAGAGCTTTCTACCTAAATATTTTATTTTTTAGTCCCCAAACCTGCTCCAGTACTCATCACCATTAAAACTGGTTAGATGGTGAACATAGACCTCTACACCATCATTTTTTGTGTCTCAGTTTCTATTATGCAAATTAAGGATTCATCCTGACCACACAGACAGTTGACTGAGGTGATGAAACTATAGTTCGGGAGTTCACAGCACACATTTTTAGATCTAATCTGATAAAAGATACTCCTCTGTTCCTTCCTAAGTAGGATGGACAAATGAACAATAAAAAATACTGCTAATATTTGACACATTTGCATTTTTCCTATTCACTTAAATTTGAATTTATGGAAAACTACACTTTCTATTTATTCAATTTTATTTTTTACAATTTTATTAAACACACATGCACAAACTTTCATTTATCCATACAGATATACCTATTGATATGTGCTTGGAGGTTCCAAAAAAAGTATATAGAAAGACAGGATAAAATGAAGAATATAGGCCAAATACTGGGGGAACAGCTGCCAGCAAAGCATAGGCTAAACCTAGAAAACAGACACAAATATGTACGTTAGGCAAACAACAGAAAGAAACCATCTGAAACAAAAGGACTTAAGCCTACTAAAACTGAACTCAATAGGAAATCTAGTGACATGCCACAGGTTTAAAAAGCAAGAAGTCTTGCAGGGAATAGTCTTTAATATGTCTAATACTGTAGGACAGTGCCTAGAAACTTAATAGCTTGAGTCAGGAAACCAGAAGTCTCTAATCACAGGCACTGCAGGTGCGTGCATGTCTGTGTGTACATCTGTGCACATACTGGTTTGCCTTTGTGGCTGGAAGCACTTCTTAATAGCCAACAAACACTTTTCATTGCTTTTCATCTGCCAAAGAATGTCATTAGAAACACCCAAAACCCCATAACTAGTGGGACACGTTTGATTTTTCTCCTCCTTTTCTCATCAGATACAATCTTCGTGGCATTCTATGACTGGTTAAACACTTCCCTCCTCCCTCACCCCAGAATGAGTAAGATGATGTAACAGTTTACATTTCCACAAAACATGCTCCAAAATGTAAAATAAGCAGAGAATCTTTGTTTACAATCTGTAAAGTCACAGAGCTTATACAGACTGGTATTGTTCCCCAAAATGAAGTCCTTTTTGTTATTAAGCCCTGTCCAGTTCCACACAGTGGAAGTGCGATCCACACCATTCCTATCTGTAGGGAAGGCTGGCAAGCACAGCAATGGAGCTGTGCGGGAAGCAGCTCTAAGGGACGCCAGGGAGGAACAACTCCTACAGTGCTCCCCCTCTGCATGACTGAGCGTGTGCTTATCATGGGACCAGCCTCAGAAGCAAATCATGTGTACCATGTGATAAGGTGTGTAACTGTCCTGGGCAGTTCCAGCAAAATCAATAGTTCTACACGCCTTGCATTAATGAGAATTAGACACCAGAACTGGACAAATGAGCCTCGAGAAGAAAATGTTGTATCTTGGCTTAGCTTGGTTCTACAATTCACCTTCATAAGTGCAGACTCGTAACACTTGAGGAAGCTGTGTGTTCTTACCACACTTGGGCAGACTGCTCCAAGTTAGGACCAAAAAGTTCAACAGTCCAGTGCAAATGACAAAAGGAAGCAATGGTTCACCCACCATGGAGAGCCAGTGATACTCGAAAACACCTCTCCCTATTAATTTATTTTTAAATCGAGACACAGAGCATCAGGTTAAAATGAAAGAATAAAACCAGGAAGGGATCTTCTGCGTCATCCAAACATGCTTGCACAGTGTAATAGCTCACACAGCCTTGCTCATGCCCTAAGCAATGTCCGACTCCTAACCAAGAATTCATATTTCTATCTAACTGGAATGATAATATCAATTATTCTCTTACAGTAATGAGCTTGCCACTAAGTACTTCTGAAACTCATCCCACATATATTCTCTGCCCCAGGTGCTACCTCACATGCCAAGAGTATCAGCAGAACACCCTGTACTATAAACAGCCATGGTGACGCACTTAACAGTACAAGTGACCAAAACTGAACACCAGTGGATTCAAAACCAGAAGAGTGGGTCTATGTGAAGTTCCTGATCTGAATATCATTTTATTCCTTTTCATTTATACTGGCATTTTTAAAGGCTGTCAGTGCCAAGGAAATAAAGAGATATTGACATGACAGGAGTTCATGGCTTAAACACCCTGGTCATTGTAGTACTGCCTGGAATGATTCCTAGGCTCCTTTGAACTCATGCTTGCTATAATTACACCCATTCCAGAAAAATAAAAGTTCAATTTTTGTCTTTTTAGAAAGGGAAGGATTCACAGCAGTTTAAGGGCATGTCTGGAGTCACCAGAAGGAAAGAATAATGTTTAGTTTAAAACAAAGTCACAAAATTAAGTATAAAGTTCACTGCTGACCACTTAAATTCTAGTATCCTTATCTGGTCATCACATAAACTGTGTTTCAGTATACAACCAGTAATGTTTGTGTCTAGTATATGACAGATTTGCCTGACAGTTAACCACATTACTTATCTGTTTAAGACAAGTTGATGTTTATATTTGTGTAAGGAAAAATATCTTTAATGATAAAATATTGCACAAAACCAGGAAGCTACAGAAATAGTCAACTGCACACTAAGTTAGGATATTCCATTGCTTTAATGGTTACTACTTACTAAAATCTAGGCTTCCTGGATTTACAGATTAATTCTTTAGGTCTGCCTCAACCTAAAGTGGAACAAGTTGAGGTGGAAGTATGAAATAAGCCCAAACACAAGTAAACTTATATATGCTTAATTACATTACCCTTAGCATGATGACTCCACTCCTCTGGACTGGGCTCTGCACAAGTCCCCTCTACTCCAAGACCTCCTGGGGAAATCTACTGAGACTGTGGCAGCTGTCACGAAGCTGCCATTCCCACAGCAGTGATGGCACCCCATAACGATACTGCTGTAAAAATACTGTCACTTTCTAACCCCATAGCAGTTTTGAAACTGCTGATAGTAATTTGCCAGCCTGAACAAAAGATTCCACTGGTCCAGTCACCAAAAGCTGAACAAAACAGTGAACATTGGCTTTGACTTCATCTTCCACAGAGTCTGCTCCTTCTTCAGGGCCAGTCTCCACTTGGGGTGAAATTACCAAGTAATTTAATGGAAATTCCACAGATTTACAGTCGTTATAGAAGATACTTTTGATTCATTTCCACCATGTAAATCACTGCCCAACTACTATGCTTAAACTGGTGACTTCTGGCCTTAAGAGAGAAAGAGGGATCAGTCTCTGATTTCTTGCTGGTTCTTCTCTGGTTGATTTTGTTTGGTGACTTTCAACAGCTGCTCTCCTGAAACATTATGTCTATATGTGTACTAAATATCGCTACCCTCTGTAGGAACTTTGCTACAACTTTTAGGATGAGGAGATAGGAAGATAATTGGGTGCATTCAGCAAAGGTTTAGACATGCCCTTAAACTGCGAAAAGTTGCTCTGTCGAGAGCTGCTGGTATTGATCAGAGAGGTAAGCTTCTTTCAGTTTGCTGCATAGCACTGACTTGCAGTTTCAAAGGAATCATCACTCTGGGCTGGTCTGCAGAATGCTATACTGATCTCCACACATACCCTGAAATACACCTCCTATTCTCATGAGCACCTGATCAGGAAGCCAAGCACTACCATAAAAGCACACACAGAAAAAGCAAAGAGCATAAATAAATCCAAAGAGATACTCACCTTGAGGAAGCTGCATAACCCCAGTGCTTATACCTGAGATGATGTCTCCTAGTAAGTATTCCTTCACTGGGTAACGGGGAAGCCATTTTAAAATTGGTAAGAAACTGTAAAGATGAGACTTGGCTTTCTTAGAAGAACAACTGAAAATACCAAGCAGAAAGAAAGAGTTAGACACTAGCAGTGGACAAATGGGTCAAAAAAATTGTCTTTTATCCCTATGCAGGGAAACAGGTCCATTAAAGGCAGGCTCATACCCCTGATGACAGTAAGTTCTGGACAAAGCTTAAGCACAAACAGCTATGACTCCAGTTAATTTAATCCTCTACCACATATTGGTTGCTGTTCACAAACCTTATGGAACTGAAGAGAATGACAGTCCTGTGAGGCTGGAGATCAGTGGGAAGTGAAACCATTCAAGTCCATGCACAATCGAGCAGTCACACAACACTTTTTAGTGAAATCATTCCTAGCAACAATCCACTGAGGATACCTTGCTCACTTTCTGATAGCGGCTTTCACTCAAAGTACTTTGCAATGCTTTTTTTTTTATTTACTATTTGTGTGCTTTATACTTTTTTTTACTTTTTCAATTATAACACTCTATATTATTATGCCTTTTCTTTCCAAACTATTATCTTACTAATGCTTGTTATTATCACTAGTACCAACAGGCTAACTTTAAGACTATTTGAGAACATAACCCTTCTTTACCCTGAAAGGAAAGGCACTGAAGCCAGGAACACCGATCCTTGCATCTCTTAGCAGATAACCTTTAGAAACCCTGACTCATGACAACTGAAGAGAGCCAGGAAGTATCTCTATCCAGTAATGCCATGCATCATACTCTCATGCATCATACTCTGACTGTAGTGTGGTAAGAAAGTTTAACCTTGGGTAAAAATATAACACTGGGATCATATAAATTATTTTCTCTGTAGGGGAACTGCAAGAGGACTGCAGAGGTTTGTTAACATTTCTGAATTCTTATGGGATTAAAATGCATAGTGAGGAAGCTTACTGCTACAAGTGAGAGAAGAAATAGTCATCCACACTTCTTGTGACTCAATCTGCTTAAATATGAAGTCATAGCTTAGGAGGATTTTGACGCACATAGTTTTATTTAGGACAGGCAAAGTTTTTTTGAGGTGAAATTACATAATATTACCATTAGAATGGTCATTTCATTGACCAAAACAAATCATGTGAACAGGAATATTTTACAGACAAGCAGTCAAGCAGAAATCATTTGTTATCTTGCAGAACAAGGTTCTAGCAAGAAATTAAATCAACTCTGCAAATCAATCACAGATAAATGTAAAGCTAATGAGAACTTAACTAGAGTAAGTTTCTCTTCACTGTCCTCAGAGCAAGAGTTGCACCGTTAAAAACATTTTCCGTCTAACCAGATGATACTTAGATGCCAAGGCAGTTAATTAAAAGCTACAGAATGCCTCTATTAAGTCCTTATTAGACTACTAATTCAGATTTCTACACAGCTTTCATACATCTCTGTTCTTCTTCCATGAAAGGCTCATGTGAAGCACAGATTTGGCTGTAAGTGTTTCCATGTAAAAAGAACAGATATTCTTCTGCAACTTATGAATTCATGTCACATGATTTGACTAATACTTCACATTCCTATGCTTCATATTTTTCCTTTGCACTTTGATGAAAACAATTCAACTAATTATCCAACATTTTGTAACACGGTTCTACATTAACATATAGAAACACATACACAACTTCATCACAGTCTTGCTGAATAATCAAAGTAGAACTAGTGTTTTTATCTTTAGATTTCTTTGAAGAGCTATGTGCATAAATCAATTAAGAATTAAGAGTATTTCTAACCAAAAAAATAAAGATAGGACAAAAAACCCTACCGACAAGAATGTGCAATCTTCTGCCTCAAAGTCTGAGGTGTTCTTTCTCGTCTGTGCAGCTGTCCTTGCAAGAGCTCTTGGTTATATATTGGTCTCTCCACACAATACTTCTGGGTTTGCTCAAGACATGCTTCATGCTCTTGAGCATGTTCCATAGTTGATCTCATGGAGCAGGAGCCAAGGAAAAACAGTTCCACAGTCTCTACTGAAAAACCTGGTTGCAGACAAAATAAGTTTAGTTACTTTTTTAACCTCGGATTTGGCATTTCCTTTCAAAGACTGTATTTTGACAAGCTGGAGACAAGAACTGTGAATGCAGTTTAAAGGCACTAATTAGATAGTCTAACAGCAGTAAGTAAATAAACCACACTCACAATCTTTACTATATGGAAGCCATTAATTTATGCTTCTCTTAGGTAAAGAAAGCTCTTGCATTAATTACTTTGTCAATAATTGCAGAAACAAAATGGGTAGGCTATATTCATGCTTATCTGGATTTTCCCTCCCCAGTTTTTAAAGAAAATCTCAATGTCCAAGGGTGATTACTTTATTGCTGAGTTACTTCCTGCTTACTCACAAACAGTCACGTTCACCCCCAAAAGACAGAACTCCAATTTTAACACTGAGAAAGTAACTTCTTTCTTCCAGACAGCCAGTTGCTCGCTCCATCCATCCATCCATCCATCCATCCATCCATCCATCCATCCATCCATCCATCCGCTTTCTCTTCCCTTTCAGAGGCTTCTTTTTCCAGACAGCATCTCAAGGACACACAACTCACTACTTCCAAAAAGTTATTCTTTCAATGGATGTGCCACTTACTGCTATTCTCAGTCCTGCGCCTACTAAAACAGGAGTCAGGAGATTTACACGTTTTTAAAACTAGCCAGAAGGTTTGTAAACACATATTAGTCTGTCTGATTCAGTGCCATAAACATCTTAACATGTTTAGGAGATATTCTGTTAATTCCTTTGCCCCGTGTTGGCTGCTTCTAGAAATACGGAACAAGAAACATAACTTCAAATTATGAGCAAAATGACAGGACTGCTATATCGTTAAGCAGAGATGCTGGCTAGTGCTACATTTGATGACAGAACGTGAGTGCAATGGGAAACAGAGCCACAATTGTGAACATGTCCCTTGGGCTCAAGTCCAGCAAGTCACTTAAGCATGTGTTTGCCTTCAACCAAGGGAGCTAACCCAGAGGTGTTTAGTTTTTAGCTGTTCATCAATACTTTCCCAGAAAAGGGTTATCACACTGAAATTAAACAAATGGCTACCTAAACATTCAAAGCTAACCGCGATTGGTCCAACGTTCTGATTCAGCAAATACAGTCTGCCCGGCAGCAAAATACCAATATTGCTACTTAAGCCTTCAGTCTGATGAAGGTGGTGGAATTTTCCACGCAGGGCTTGCTGTTCTCTGTCTCCTAGGACAGACACTGCCTAGCATAACTTCAGTTCTCATTATTTCATAAGCAACATTTCCCTACATAGTCAGTCACAAAAGGATATTTTTACCGAAATTACAATTTTTTTATTTACACCACATTCAAGCCTTACTTCAGCTTTATCATGTGAAATAGGATATCTAAAACTTATAAGAGCAGTATCATATCAAGGGTACTATCAGAGCTTGTTACCATTGTACTCCTGGAACACATCTAAAGCTTCTTTTGCATCTTTCCATAATTTCAATTAATTGAGAAGCCTAAATGACATTTTGTGAACTGTTTTCTTGTGTTATTGTTTAGTAAATTCTAACTCTCAACATTACATTTTTTCCCTCTACCTGCAGAATTTCATCCAGTCAACATCAGAATAGGATTGTTCCACCAGCAATTTCCATCTGGGTATCCCTCTGTATTTCTTCTCACTTTCATATTATCACATTGTGTATTTGCAGCATCTTATTTCCTATTTATAGCAATGACATCCATACTAAAATGTATGTTTGGCCACTAACATCTGTAGCACTTTTTTTCCATGTCAATGTATACCTACCCACAAATACCACTTCCTACTTCACATCTTGCCCTGTCAGACAGTGACATCCCATGACTCCTAGTGTATTAACTTCTGCCCAATGAAACTGAAACTTTAACCACCCTAGTGTCTGCTGGAAAGGCAACCCAGCAGGGCACAAGCAATCCAGGAACCTTCCGAGGTGATGACAGCTTCCTGCCATGGGTGATGGAGAAGCTGACAAAGAGACATGCTCTGCCAGACCTGATACTTATAAACAAGGAAAAACTGGTCAGGAATATGAAGCCTAGGGGAAGCCTTGGCTGCAGTGACCATGAGATGCTGGAGTTCAGGATCCTGAGAGAAACAAGATATATAGCAGGCTTACAACCCTAGACTTCAGGAGAGCAGACTTTGGCCTGTTCAGATACCTGCTTAGAAGTATCCCATGGGATATGGTCCTGAAGGATCCAGGAGAGCTGGCCAGTTTTCACGGATGAAAAGAATGGTCCATCCTGCGTAACAGGAATTCAAGCAAGAGTGGTAGGATGCCTGCGTAGATGAACAAGGAGCTCCTGACAAAACTCATTAATGAAAGAAGCATATGAGAGGTGGCAGCTGGACAGATGACGCAGGAAGAATGTAGAGACACTTCAAGCATGCAGAGATAGGGTTATGAAAGCCAAAGTCCAGCTGGAGCTGAATCTGGAGAAGGACATGAATGGTAACAAGAAGGGCTTCTATAGGTATATCAGCAGCAAGATGAATACTATAGAAAATGTGGGCCCTCTACTGAAAAGGTGACAAAAGACATGATGGAAGATGAACTTTGCCAGTCTTTACTGTTAAGATCAGCCTTCAGCAATCCCAGCCCCTGAGACCAGTGGGAAAGTGTGGAGCAAGGAAAATTGCAATCAATGCAAAAGGATCAGGTAAGGGAACATTTAAAACAGATTGGATGTACACAAGTCCATGAAACCTGAAAGGTCACACCCATGAATGCAGAGGGAGCTGCCAGTGTCATTGCAAGGCCATTCTCGATTATCTTTGAAATGTTTTGACCACTGGGGAGCTTCCTAACAACTGGAAGAAAGCCAGTGTCATTCCCACTTTCAAGACAGGCAAGAAGAAGGATCTAGGGAATTACAGGCTGGTCAGCCTCACATCAATCTCTAGAAAGGTGATGGAACAAGTAACCCTGGAAATCATTTTCAAACATGTTAAGGACAAGAAACTGATTGAAAATAGTCAGCATGGATTTATAAAGGAAAAAAATCATGCCTCATTAACTTGACAGCCTTTTATGATAAGATGACTGGTTTGGTGGAAAAAAAAAATCAGTGATATTCTTTATTTTGTATTTTTCAAGCCTTTGTCTCCCATAGCATCCTCAAAGACAATCTGATGAAATAAAGGTTAGGTCAACAGATAGTGAGGTGGACAGAGAACCTCTGAACTGTCAGGCTCAAAGGGCTATGATTAGCAGCACAAAATCCAGCTGGAGGTCAGTCACTACTGGAGTACCCCAGATATTGATACCCTGGGCCAATATAATTTAATATATTAATTAATGACCCTGATGATAGGACAGAGTGCACCTTCAGCAAGCTTGCAGATGATACAAAACTGAAGAGAGTGGTTGATGCACCAGATGGTTACACTGTCATTCAGAAGTACCTTGACAAGCTGGAGATAAAAGTAGACAGAGACCTCATGAAGTTCAACACGGGGAAACACAAAGTCCTGCACTTGGGAGAAATAGCCCCATGCAACAAATAAACACTGGGGATCAATCACCTGGAAAACAGCTATGCAGAAAAAGGACAAAAAATTTGAATATAAGTGAGCAACATGTCCTTCTAGCAAAGAAGGCCAGCAGCATCCTAGGCTGTGTTACGCAGGGTATAACCAACAGGCTGGGGGCTGTGATTCTTCCCCTCTCCTCAGCACTTGAGGCACATGTGGAGTGCTGGGTCCAGTTCTGGACTCCCCAGTGCAAGAAAGACATGGGCATCCTAGAAAGGATCTAGCAAAAGGGCCACAAAGATGATTAAGAGATTGGAGCACCTGATGTATGAGGAGTGGCTGAGAAAGCTGGGATTGTTCAGCCTGGAGAGAGGAGGAAGGGTGGAGAAATCGTATCAATGGATATAAATACCTGATGTGGCAGGGAGTAAATAGGCAATGGGCACAAACTGAAATACAAGAAATTATGTTTAAATGTAAGGAAAAAAAATTACTATGAGCATGATCAAACACTGGAACAGAGGTTGTGGAGTTTCCATCCTTGGAGATACTCATAACCTGACAGGACATGGTTTTGGGCAACCTGGTCTACGTGACCCTGCTTGAGCAAGGGGGTTGTACTCTAAAATCTCCAGAGGTCCCTTCAAATCTCAACAATTATGTGATTCCATAATATTCCCTTATGTCATTATTCACACAGAACGTATCTTTCCTGGTAATTAATTGGTGTATTCTGGTAACATCAGCCTCATTTACAAATTGCAATTTTAATCAGTCTTAAAGAGAAAACCCTCTCAAACAAATCATAAGAAGAACTACAGCTGCATGGAAAAGGCAAAAACCAAATCAGTTCAGAGTCCTGGTTTTGGCCAAACTGTTCCAATAAAAGGAGAATATAATATCAAAATACTTATATCGAAGATTTTAAAAACATGCACCCCTTTTATCCTCCTCCTAAAGACAGCAACACAAAACAGCCCTGTGCTAACTCCAAACAATTCAGGTCCTGATCAGGACACATACTTTTCACATACAAGTTGGTTAAGCTTCAAGTAGATTGGTTAATATTTGGAACAGCCACACAAATTTGTAATGTAAATCTGGGCGTGGAGAGATCTTAAGATCTTCAGTTCCTTTTTCATTTCTGTACACATGCCCAGACTCTTCCAGGTACTGTGAGAATATAGAGAACAACAGAAGTTCAGTCCTCCCTCGGTTTGTCATGGTGAAATAAATGATACAGATGTATTTGACTAACTGAACAGGGCTCAACTCTACATCAGTTATCCAAATGATGGCAAGTGTTAGCTTGAAATACTACCAGAGGTCACAACTCAAGTTTCACCATCACTCAATCTGAAGGTTTTAAACTGTAGATTGAGCATTTCTGATTCTGTTTGAACAAGGAAGTTATACTGCACTGAGTCATGAGAACCATCTAACACAAAAGGAAACCTGAGGGAGGATACAATAGGATTCTGTGTTTAGCTATGGTTCACAGT